AGAAGGCTTTTATTAACCCTCCAGAGCCGTGTGGAGTACTTTTTTTAAATTTATTTTTATGATGGATTGATGCACTACTTTGGACTTTAAAATCTCAACCACCATTCACTGCAATTATATATCTTGAAAGAGCTAGGACAGTTTTAATGTTGGTAATTTTCATTTTTGGGTGATCCTTTCCTTTAATCACTTGTTTGTTTCTGTTAGGGTGAATGCAGCCATTATAGCAGGCCATGAGGAGGATGTTGGGAAAAGGACATCCGTTTATGTGCACACAGCACATTCCTTAATCCAGTCCCTCATGGTACACAAAAAGAGAGGTTTCAAACAGATTCCTACTGACAAGGTGTGTCTATGCTATCACATGTTCCTATATGTGGGCTACTTTGGCTAAACCTCTGATAGTTTTTCTTTTTTAAATTTTTTTAAATTTTTTTATGGAAGGACATTAAATATGTTCTAATCCCTGAGGGTCCAAGAGACTACAGCTTTCTTGAGTCCCTTATGAAGAATAGAAGAATACCATCAGGAGCATATCGTGGACGAACGTAAGTCATCCTAACAGAAAAGTAATTATCAATCAATGTTTGTGATCATGAACCAGTAGTGCAAAATATACAGCCCACTTGATCATTCCTTATGGCCCACAGGCCAAGAAACAGAAAAGTTGCAGAATTAACCACACAGAGTTGCAGTTACCAAACGAGAAGCTCCACACTTTTTTTTTGGAGTGTACATACACTGGCAGCTCCGAAGGCTGCTCAAAATGCCATAGGGTTTTTACATAGGGTCTTTATCTTATTTTTAATTTAAATAAAATGCAGTTTTCTTACCGGCCAATGGTGATTCTGAAATAAACATGCCAGGATCCTACTGTTAGGTATATACTAATAGGGAAACTACTACTGTAACGAACACAACTTTTATGCACATGAGATTGCCAGATAAACAGAGCAGTCTTATTTCGGTGTTCTTATTAATGTTGTGGTGATTTCAGAAGTTAGCTTCGCACATTCAATTTAACATCAAGTTAAAGACGGAGAACTTTATCATTCAATTTTAGACACTTAATGTATATTCTTGCTG